AAGTTCATTCAGTTATGGAAAGTTTGTGTTGGCTCTCAGGACAATGGTTCATATAGCACTATGTATTTAGATTATGTTGTATTATACCAGAGTGTAATGTATGTGTCTGTATAATTTGTCTCTGTGTATGAAACATCTATTGTGTGCTAGACAGTCTGGATCCTAGGGATCTGTCAGTGAGTAAAACAGATGTTCGCATCTGTAGATTGAATGTTTAGTGAGAAAAGACATAAGGTAAAGACATGAGTTAAAAGGAAAAATTAAGTAGTTTGAATAATAGCAATAACTAAAACCATACTGGATGCCGGGAAAGGACTGTATTTATGAGGAACTCACCTAGGGACCAAGCAGGTTTGCAGGACTTAATGGTTGAGCTGATACTTGAACTCATCATTGAGGCAATTAGCAGAATGCATCTTGCAGTTATCTGAAGATGTTTTGATCGGGGAAAGACATAGAGAGGGCTGTTCAGATGGCTGCTCATTTGAGGTATTAGAGGTGAAAATGAGCCAGTGCCAGGTTAGGTCAGCTTCACCAGCTGTTGTAAAGCCTTTTTGCCATGGCTAGAACAAGGATTTGGCCAGTAAAGAGGGAGGTGAGAAGAGGTGGGGCTGGTGGATAGTAGGCTTATGGAGTCAGCATGCTGGAAAGAAGGAGCTGTGTGCATAGGAGGTGGTGATTGTAAGCGGTGTGCCTGGCATAACACTGGAATTGTGCATGACGCACAGCATGTGACATACTCTAGAAGCATGCAGTCATGGCCCAAGGATGAAGTCATTTTGGGGAGCAGTGGAAGGATCAGCCACTTATGTATTGAAAACCTCAGGAATTAAGACAGGAGTCTGGGTGAGCAAGATAAGAGTAAGCCAAGAGCTACAGCTATCAAAAGAGGCAAGTGTGGTGGAGGTACCAGAATGCCTAAAACTGCCCTGGACAGAGAAGATGGGTTTGGGTATTTTCTGCACATCAGTTCCTCTAGTACCCACTCAGATGTCATTTCAGAATTTGCCTTTTCTTTTTTTCCTGAGTGCCCCTAGATCTAATCTCTGCATTGTTTATTTTTGATTTATCATTACCCCTAATTCTGGCAGTACATTGTAGACTATTTGTTGTAGTTAAGGTGACTATTGCTAAGATGAAACACCACGACCAAAAGCAACTTGGGGAGGGAAGGGTTTATTGGGCTTACATGTCTGGAATCACAGTCCATTGAGGGAAGCCAAGGTAGGAACTCACACGAGGCAGGAACCTGGAGGCAGGAGCTGATGCAGAGGCCATGGAGGAGTGCTGCTTACTGGCTTGCTCCTCATGCCTTGCTCAGTCTACCTTTTTTGTTGTTTGTTTGGTTGGTTGGTTTGGTTTTTCAAGACAGAGTTCCTTTGTATTGTTTTGGAGCTGTCCTGGAACTCACTCTGTAGATTAGGCTGGCCTTGAACTCACAGAGATCCACCTGCATCTCCCTCCCCAGTTCTGGGATTAAAGGGATAGGTTACCAATGCCCAGCTCAGTCTGGTTTTTTATAGAACCCAAAACCACCATGCAGGGTTGTCTCCAACCACAATGGGCTGGGTCCTTTCACATTAAACACTGCTTTTAAAAATGTGCCCTATGCTTGCCTACAGCTTGATCTCATGAAGGCATTTTCTCAATTGAGAGTCCCTCTTGCTAACGATTCTAGCTTGTGTCAAGTAGACACAACACTAACCAAGACATTGATGCTACTGAATTCCCCTCAAGTATGAATCACAATGATTAATAAGGATATTCTTACTATTTACTTCTGACTCATAAGAGAGAATGACAGCCCCTTGCTTCCGTTAGTGCCGTGTGCTGGCTCTCGCTGTCTTCAGTAGAAGCAGCTTCTCCAGGTTGTTTTCAGCCAAAGTTAATGACAAGTGGGAACCAGGTGGTTTTGTGCCTGAGGGTGCCAAGCATCTGTGGCTGGAGTAATGAAGTAAAAATGCCCAGAGTCAGCAGCAGGAAGTAGAATCACATTTCCAAGCCTGGCTGACATGGGTGCCCTTGCCGGTGGCCTTTCCAGGTTGGTTCGGACTTGTCCGTCCTCTATGGAGTGTAAGACTGAATCTGAGCTTCTGGGTCACACAAGGGTTTCACCAATCATTTTGTTTCTGACATGTTGCAGCTCTAGATTCGGTGATAGGTTTGTTTTCTGTTAGAAGATGGTGGTGGTATAGTCTGCCCTCAGCTGTTTGGATGTTGTTTGAAGGTGTTCTATGTGCTTTAAAGCAGGGTCTGTGGTCACCAACAGCCTGTCATACTCACTTGTCAAACATTTGCAAGAACTCCACATTCCTCAGGCTGCAACACTACATAGCCCTCATCCAGTGTACCTGCAATTTTATGACTTAAAGTGTACTTTGTTAAAGAATATTTTTCTTATGTCCTAGTCCACTAGAAGGCAGCACACTCACACATACTTAACAGGAGGAGACAGTAGGAATTGCTTGTTTTTTGATGAAACAACAATGCACTTTTAGGGTGGATGTGTTGGAGGTACTGTTGTATTTCTATTATGAAAAATATAACTATTCCATAGAGTCCCCTCCTTGGAAGTGAGCAATAGTATAAATAGTTCAAAATGGCAAAAGTGTTTTATTTATTTCTCATAGAAGTCTTAATTTACATTTTCTTCTTATGTAGTAAATTAGGAATTTCTAGAATCCCTTTTGTAATTTGAATAGTATTCCTTAATATTTACGAATCATGTTTTTGTTTAATTGAATTTATTCCAATTGAAATGGAATATGACCATCCTATAAACTGGAAACACCCCAGACCATAAACTGAAATGGAACCATCAAGAAATGGGAAGGATCATTTTCCAGATCACTGGCCTGCCTGCCATCTGCCTCATAGCATTTTCCCCTGCAGGCATATTTTCCCCCAAGTATCTTCAAGCTGTATGGTCAGCTGAGCCGGGCCAAAGGAATCCCATTAGCCAATCATCCCCATTCTTCTCCAAGAGGAAATCACCTGTGGGAGCCACAAAATGGAGTCACGAAATAATACTGTGGTTATAGTGTCTTCTACAAGGACGTTCATCAGCAATGCAGAGTCACTGTAATCCAGCTTCTAAATTAATGTAACAGATAAGAATAACCTGCTCTGTGCCTCCCAGCCACTAGTAACACATACTTTCTGAAAATTACAGGGAGTCAGCTTGTTGCCAAGGCACCCATTGTGGAAAGTTTGAAACATTGTTAAGTATTTACAGCAAATAGTAACATGTGGAGTCCTTAGTACAGGCAGGGCTGAGTGGAGCTTGTGAGTACAGAATTTAGTTAATATTTAAGATTCAGAACAGGGATACCAGCTTTTCTATTAAAGCATCCAGTAGTTGATACTTCAGACTTTTGGAGGCAATGTATGATTTCCTACAAGTTCTTCATTTTGTTGTTTGTGTTTACTCTTTATATTTAATAGCTATCTTAGCTTCGAAAATTACAAAATGAGATACTGAGCTTATCAGGGCATTTGATGACCTTGGTACAGGAAGATAGTGATAGAGGTGTGTAAAATGATGACTCTAGAATTTTGTTAGCCCATAACACCAAGGGAAACAAAAGCAGGCTTGTTTCATCTGCATAGAGTGGGCCTTGCTATGCCCTGGTGTTGCAGGGAACTTACCGGAGGTGCTGGGTACACACCAACTCCTCTTGGCCCCTTCCCATTGCTTCAAGTTAGGCACACTTGAATTTTGTGTCCTTGTGTTGATGACCCACTCAGACCATGAAATGACCTTTTTTTTTTTTTTTTCAGTATGCCTATCACACTGAAATAACACAATTTTGAAAGCCAGTTAATCGCAATTTTAATCCCAGCTCCTTTACCAAATAGATACAGTTTCTTGGCACCAGTTAATGTCTATGTCTTATCATTGTCTTTGTAAAATGAGACTGAGTCAATATCACACACACGTGTGCACATGCATGCACGCGTGCACACACACACACATGGAATGGATTAGGTAATTTCAGATTTATGTATCTGTATTATCTGTTTATCCAGTGTTGCATGATTTAGTTGATTCGCAAGCATACGCCTACTGGAGTCAAAGGACACTGTAAAATTGCTGTTTGTACCCAGAACCTCTGTGTTTGGCCCACAGAGGTTACCCAGGAATCATTGAGTGAATGAATTAATTACAATTGAGCACTTAGCATTTTAAACTCACCTCCTACTTTTGCTTTTTGTTTTAGAAATACATGCTGTTTTTTATATAATTGATCTGTCCAGTACTTTTTATAGTTATGCTGTAAAAATATCCATTGAGTATCAGCCCAATAAATACAGAAATGGATAAAATATAGTTTTAATCCTTGCCTATAAGGAGTCTACTTTCTACTTGTGGTGTCTAGTAGGTGATCTGGTCATTTCACTCTACATGTAACTATAGAATTAGGTAGCCGAATCTCCAAACTACAGGCTGCTTTTCTGTTTCCTATTCCAAACCAGTGGAGATGTCACCCCATTGGCACTCTGGGGAGGGTCCTCCAGAAGAGCACAGATGTTTTAGGTTCTCGTTTGAATCACTTTTTTGTAGCACCTGTTTCTGTGACTCCTCACTTCTTCCCTTTTCTGGGCTGGATGCTGTGTGAGTATCCTGTGTTTCCCCCTCTATCTGCATCCATGCGCTTGTCCGTTACAGGCATCCGCTAAGACAGCAGCATAGTTCTACTCTCAGTGCAGACCCTGTAACACAGGAAAGAGATTGCTGCCATTTTGGACATGAGCAAATTTCACATGTCAATGTTTCCACTCAATTTTCTCTTGGAAAATCAGTCTGTTGCTGTTACTGAGTAGCCAGAAACCAATCACTTACTTCTTCTTTCTTTTCTTTTCTTTTAATTATTATTATCTATCATTATGCCTTTGTTTTTCTTTCTTTTTATCATTTAATTGCCCAGTTGCTCCTAATGTAATATTTTCTCTGGCTATAACTTTTGTAAGAATTATTCATTATTTTTCTATTATGATAGCTGTGGAAATCCAAAGGACGCTGAATCAACTTGGAACACCTCAAGATTCACCAGAATTGAGGCAACAGCTGTAAGTTTTGTTTTGGGTTTTGTTTGTTTGTTTGTTTGTTGTTTTTGGAGACAGGGTTTCTCTGTGTAACTGCCCTGGCTGCCCTGGAACTCACTCTGTAGACCAGGATGGCTTCAAACTCACGGAGATCTGCATGGCTCTACCTTCTGAGTGCTGAGGATTAAAGGCCTGCACCTGTGCACCAACCACCCAGCTTTTTTTTGTTTTTCAGACAGAGAAAAGAGAAAACCAATTTTATGCTGCTTTTATAGTAGGTTTTTATTGGAGAAGGCAGGAGACTTGCTGAGGATTTAAAGCCAGCCTAAGCTACAGAGTAAGTTCCAGATCATCTTGTGCTACACAGTGAAACTCTGTGTCAAAACTTCGAAACACACACACACACATTTACATATGTATCAATAAATATGCCAGTAGAGCAATAATAATAGTGCTTTGTGTGTTTTATAGATTTCATGTTTTCTCATCCGAACTTTGTAAAATTTGAGTGATGTACACACACAGAAAACTTTCAGGACCTTGATGATCTACCCAATATTATTCAGAACCTCTTAAGTTCTCAGCATTTTAATGGCTACAGATTACAACTGATACACACTCATGTATGCACATACACACACATACACTTGCATATGTACATACATATACAGGGACACACACATACACACAAACAAGAACATGCACAAACACACACACACATACATAAGTGTGTTTGTCCACACATGCACAAACACAAATACACATATTTATTCACACACATACACATGCATACACGCACAGAAACACACACACACACACATACCATTTTTCCATACAACAATTAGCTAGAACAAAAGTACAAAGAAGATATGAAAAAAATATACAATATAAACTCATGTTTTTAAGAAGTACCATTTGAAGTGGTCTTTAGTTTATATTTAATTCTCTACAATAAAATAGATGTTGGGAGTGAATCTTAGGTAATACACACTCATTGAAATGCAATGCAATGGAAGTAAATACTAAATAGTCACATTATTTTTGTGGCATTAACAGTAGAAATTTTGAATCCATTAGCATGATCATGCATTTTGAGAACTTTGACTATCCTGTTCCAGAGCACATCCCTGAAGCACATCCAAGCAAGGGCATTTGGTATCTAGAACTATGAGCTGGTTATTTTTCTTCTTCACTAGCTCTATACAGGCATCTGTATCTGAGCATCTTTTTATCATGAGCCTCACTGGCAGTTCATGTGTAATATAGGGGATGTACAAGGGAGGCCTTGGTGTCATTTCTAAGCATCCCTTTAATGCAAGATTATATTGTTGAATATCAAGTTCTTCACAAAAATTCATACTCTTTTATTTAAGGTATAGGTATAATTTATCTGCCTCCATTTTTTTTTTGTATTTTTTGTATTCAGGTCTCATATATATATATATATATATATATATATATATATATATATATATATATACACACACACACACACACATATATACACACACATACATACATACATATATATATATGTATATATATACATATATTTACACAAAGAAATAAGACATACAAGATGTACCTCACACTGGGGAGCTGGACAAAACAGTCTTTCTTCCTCAGATGCCCTCCAGGAGAGACACAGAAAAGAGCTGTACTGTACACATTCTCAGTCTCTCAGATATAAAGGACCAGGCAGCCAGCACTGTCCTGACTACATGCCCTTCTCACTGGAGTAATTTTCATTTGTAGTTAATGATATTTACTTGTAGGTAATAACAATTCATAGTTCTCTAAGTGTGGTTATTCTGGGTGAATGAAGACCCTTCTATGTCATAGTTCTTAGTGTTTATATAAAAAAAAAATAGAACCTAAACATTTGGTTTGACAGAAAAAAATTGACAGCCAATTCAGAAAACCATGAGTACTTTTATAGTTTATAATTTGAAAGTATACATACCCAGACCAAAAAAAAAATTAGTTCTTCTACAACTATTTACTAGGGTTGACACAAGTGGACAAATCTTTCTTTGGCAATAATGTGCTTTTGCCTTCTGTTTCTCTTTTTGTTTTTTTTCTTTTAACTTAGGCAGCAGAAGCAGCAATATACTAACCAACTTGCAAAAGAAACAGACAAGTACATTAAAGAGTTTGGATCACTTCCCACCACACCCAGTGAACAGGTACCAGGCTTTCAAATGCATGCTTTGATGTGAAAGAAATTAAATGTATGCTCAGATCTTTGAATGGTGATCCTACAAAGAAAATTAGGCAACCAAAAACATTGTATTTGATATTAGTTACCAGAACACAAAACTGTATTTAGTTGTTCAGGTAGTATCATGTGGTTTCATAAAGCAGAAATTACTTCCATGTAGTTGCCCTGACCCATAATCAAGTACATGCTGAGAAAATGCCTCTTGTGTAATTGCATCCTGGCTTTGTAGGGCTGTTGCCCCCCCCACCCCCCAGCATACACACACTCAAGATGTGCTTGGGGGCACAAGTTAGCTTCTTGCTTACTGCAAGTTATTAAGTGTGTGTGTGCGCACACACACGCGCGTGTGCACATGTGTGTATGTATGTATGTATGTTTATTTGCCTAAAAGGAGCATTACCTAAATTTAACTGTAAGACCATGACCCACTGATCAGCCACTACGGAAGTCTAAGGTGAGAAATTCTGCGGCAGGCTTTTTGCCTCAAGGTGAAAGTGTAAGAGTTTGAATCCTTTATAAAGGTTCCTGAGTGTCCATCAGATGGCTTCTATAATTGGGAACTGAGTGACAATTTTAGGATCAAATAAAGAGCCAAATAGTAGTGAAGCAACTACTTCAGATCTTAGTGAGCTTCTCAGTTTGATTCAGCAGGCTGTTTCTCTCCCTTCTCTCTAGCGTCAAAGAAAGATACAGAAGGATCGATTAGTGGCGGAATTTACTACATCACTGACTAACTTTCAGAAGGCCCAGAGGCAAGCTGCTGAGAGAGAGAAAGAGTTTGTTGCTCGAGTGAGAGCCAGCTCCAGGGTGTCGGTGAGTATTGTGAGTGCTGTAGTGAGGGTGTGGCATTTGCATCACCCTGATGTATAAAGTTGTAGAGGTCCGTGACACTCTTAAATGTGTGGCCATTTAAAGGGGTCTTGCCCAGGTTTTTAAGAATGGTGTTGTGTATTGTTGTAGTTACTCCTTGTGGAGAAATAGCAGAGTACAGACTACTTGAAAATAGAAAAACCTATCTTGTCAAAGGTTAGAGGTCAAGTCCAGGTGGCCTTTTCATGGCAAGTCAGTTTGAGGTTTGGTGCTTGAGTGTGTGCACCAAGTGATGAACTCAGAGCATGTGCTAAGGGATTCTGAAAATGAATATGAACCTGGAAAGGATGATCTAAAGTGAACTTTTGGGTTAACCTAGTTTTTCATTCGTACAGGATCCACCATTACTTGGTATTTCCCTTATTAATGCAGAGGTTTCATAATGACATTTCTAGTATTAGCTAAATTATATTTATTATTTTGTCCTTGAAAATAGTGAATTCCATCCTTGTCAGATTAAGATATTATTTTGTCATTACTTAAGCAATTGACCTAGGAAATTAGAACAAGAACTTTTCTTTTTCTGCTCCCATTGCATGTGCACACACCCATATGTGTGCACTCACACACTCACTCACATGTATGCACACACACTCACATATATGCACACACACATGGATACAGGTCAGCCATGTTAAGAGGAAATGTAGGTGCTGCTTACTTTCCCTTACTTTTGCTTTCTTTCCATCTTCTAACTCAATTACTCAGGGGAGTTTTCCTGAAGACAGCGCGAAGGAAAAGAATCTCGTGTCCTGGGAAAGGTAAGAAATAAAAACAAAAAGAAACACTTTGTAAATCAAAAGATATTATTTCAAGTTTGATATAATATAGTTCATGAAGCAGAACTCATGAGAGCTTGTATTGTATTATAGCATAAATAGTTTATTTATAAATAAATAGTAAATTTGGGAAAATTAAATATTTCTAAAGTATTTAAAGTGCAATGTGCAAATAGATCGCCCAAATAAACTTATTTACTTAATTTTAAGAATAAAATATTCTTATGTGAAATTGGCAAGTACAATTTTTAATACTTACGTGAATTGAAACCTATATATGATGAAATCATGAATGTAATGAAAATGGGATAAAGTTTGGATAAATATCTATACTTAGAAGTTTTTATTTGTTTACCGAGGTTTTTTTGGAGGCAGAATCTCACTGTGTTATCCAGGCAGGAACTCACCAGGTAGCCAGGACTAACCTTAAATTGCAGCTCTTTCTACCTCAGCCTGTTGCAACCTGGGATGACAGGCATTACCACCACGCTTACCTTATTTCAGCACTTCTTAAAATGAGCAATATTCTGGTCTTGAGGATCAAAGTGTCCTTTGTATTGAATAATGTGTCTTCTTTCTGTATTTATTTTTATAGCCAAACACAGCATCAAGTGCAGGTCCAAGATGAAGAAATTACAGAGGATGACCTCCGCCTTATTCAAGAGAGAGAGACTTCAATCAGGCAGCTGGAAGTAAGCCTTACAGGCTTGCCCCGCACAGACCCAGATAATGCGGGGGGAAGAAAACTCTAAGAACATCTATCAGTTTGGTGAAATTTCTAGTTGTAGAATTTGGAATAATTCCTGTTTAAGAAATGATGCTATTAGTGCTAGGGAGAGAGGCCATGTTCCTTCCACATTCTTAAATCACTCTAGAAATTCTAGAAATAAACATCTATCCAGGGAGTCTGGGAAACTGACACCCTTCTGCCTGTACACACCATCCCTCCATGAGTAAGACATTTACAACAGCACTAAAAGAACCATACTTCTTTTTAGGGTGTCTGTTGTATCACAGAGACAAAGGGTTTCTTAGGTTGTAGTTCTCGTGAAACCAAACTAGCCCCTAAAAAGTGAGCTAATAATCATCACCAGTAGCTACAGTTCACTAAAGGTCTTCCATAGCCAAGGCTCTGTGATAACTGTTAATTTTCTCATTCTCTCCTCTGCTAACTATGACACTTTACAGATGGGGAAACTAAGACCACGAAAGGTGTCAAACTTCCTTACACAGTTAAGAGAGTCTGTAATTGGAAAAAAGAAATAGGTATATAATTAAGAAAAGGAAAGCTATAATTTCTTCAGCCAATAAATTTATAATTTCTTTACCCACTAGTGACATTTATAATTTCACTAGTCTGTTGGGTATTCAAATTTATTAATGTAGGGCTTTACATTTATGCATGATGTTCCATCCATCGAAATTGTTGAATGGATGGGTGAATTTTTTTTATTGAAATATAATAATACCCATATTCTTCAAAGAAAATATTTCCTGTGACAAGAAAACAGGTTGGACTCAATTTCCATCCTGCTCATTTAATAAAGCAAGTGTCACAGATTTACTTTGGACAACTAGTGGCCATCCGGGAGCTCTTTTGTTAGGTTTACTTAGAGTGGTATATTTTTCTAATGTTCCTAAAAATGTGTATCTTACTTCTAAATGCATACTTATATGCATTTATTTGCATACTTATGAATTTGTTTCTTTCTTTTTCGTTTGAACTTCTTCATTTGTAAGATGGGAACTGGATTTCTAATAATGCATAATAATGTGTGTTTTTTGTCTTAGGCTGATATTATGGACATTAATGAAATCTTTAAAGACTTGGGAATGATGATTCATGAACAAGGAGATGTGATTGGTAAGCTCTTCTGGTGTGGACTATGAGGTAGGAGGGAACCAGTGACCTGCAGTAGCTTTCTCAGGCAAGAAACCACTCCCTTTCTGTCTCTTTGGGCTCCTTGGAAATCAAAGGCATAGTGTCTCCAGTTTGCTGCCCTTGCCTGCGTTTGCAGTCCTGCTGTTTGGGCAAGCTTCACTTGCTCCAGAAGCTTGTGTTTTAGTCAGGACTGCCTTCTGCTAAGACCATAAAACCCCCTGTGGCTTTCCAGCCTACTTCCAGGCCGTCCGTTTCCTTCTTATCCATACCTAGTACTATCCTGCTGAGGACTGGGGAAACTCATGGTATTTATAATTGTGTATACTGTTTCGTTTTATGGAAAATAGCTGCTTGCCTGGTCATTAGTCCTACCAACTACCAAGTTGTTTGTGATAGATTAATGCAGCTCATTTAGATGCCAGGGGACTGAGACCCTTGCCATTAAAGCTTTCAGTTTGGGAATGTAACCATGGAAATGGGTGGGTGGGGTCATAGATAAGGTCGTTAAAAATAAGTATGGGAGCTGGAGGTAGAGTTCAGTGGGTAGGAGCTCTTGTGGTGCAAGCATGGGGATCTGAGGTCAGAGGCCCCAGAAGAGAAAGCTGGGTGTGGCGACACATGTTCATAACCCTAGAAATATAAGTGAAAAGGCAGGAGCTTTGAGGTTTGCTCCCCAAAAACTTCAGGTTCAGTGAATGACCTTCTTTCAGGATTGTAAGGTGGAGACTGATAGAGGGGGACACCCGACATCCTTCTTTGACCTCTGTACACACAGACGCATATACCCAAATATACATGTCTACATGCAGTGCACACATGCTTGCACACACGGTTGCACACACAGTATAGTAGGGCTGGGCAAATGGCTCAGTTAGTAAAACAACTTGGCACACAAGCAATGAGGACCTGAGTTTAGATCCTTAGCACTGACATAAGAAGATTGAACATAATGTAGGCACATGCTACCCTTGTCCTAATCCTAGAACTAAAGAGGCAGAAACAAGGACACCCCTGGAACACACTGGCCAGTCAGTCTTGCTGAATTGATGAGCTCTAGATTCAGTGAGAGGCTTTGTCTCAAAAAGTAGTGAGAAAAATATCTGAGGAAGACACCCGAAGTCAACTTCTGGCCTCCACACCCATGTACACAAGTATGTGCACAGATACACAAAGTAAGTGGATGATGTACAGCTAGACCAAGGCATTAGTTAGAAGGGTCCACTGCTGAATAGTGAAATCACCAGCTGTGACACAAAGAGAAATATTGAAATGAGCATCACTGAGTCAAGGGTCAAAATATTCAAGAACGGAAGAAGCTATGGAATCATTGAATGTCTACTGCCAAGGAGGGCTACACGAATGTGACACAATGACCTTTAAAACTGAGAGTTTGTAGGGAGGAGTAAGAGCCTCCAGTCCCACAAGTCAGTGTCTATTCTACCCCCCCCAGGTTAGAACAGAGTGGAAAGGAAGGTGCCCCCCTGAGAAAGCCCATGGGTCCTGGGTGGGAACTACACTTCACTGCAGTTCGGTTAATGAAAACAGAATACAGTTATCAACTTCTTACTGTGAAGTTGTCCACTGTCCCATGCAAAGTAGGTAGAGCACTGTGTTCATGTGAATAATTTGAGGTAGCTTGCATTTACAGAATCACACAAAAAGCCAAGGAACACAAAGAACTAACAGGGCAGTTTGACTAAATAAACATACAAAGGACTGGGTGTTGGGGCCCCTCCTTTGTCCTGAGGAGAGTGTTCTTTGAGGAGCTGAGGTAGCCTTTTTCCTATGTGAAGACCAAAGTCTTTGGGCCTGGGGAAAAGAGGGTTGATCTGTTTTTTACATTGGTCTTGAGTCAGTGCAAGCTCTGGGGTTGGAAACTGACAGGAGCTTGGGCTGATGCTGATCTGATATTGGGAAAATGACAGTGCTTTTGTTGTGTCCAGTAGAGCTAGAGAAGATGATTAAGGTCATTTGTTTATGTGTTTGTATTTTGGTTGGAGTACATCTTTTCCTTACATGTATGCTGAATGAAGTTTGGTGAGTTATTATTGGCGCACCAGTTCGTGTTTAACAGTTCTACGTGTATGTGCATTTTATTTTAAAGACAGCATAGAAGCCAATGTAGAAAGTGCAGAGGTACACGTTCAACAGGCAAACCAGCAGCTGTCAAGAGCGGCAGATTATCAGGTAACATTAACTCTAATCCATTTTCTTATAACTTAGAGTTTGATTCATACTTGATGTGACTGCATAGGCTGACTTTAGGATTACTTTAGAATTCTGTGGAAGGGAAGTATCAGAAATGTGCCAGTCAATTTAAAATTGGTTTGGGCATGTGCATTCTAATGTTAATCTACAGAGATAGGAAATCATGAATCTTGCAAGAGACTACTACTCCACACTTTGGCCATTGTGTGGAGGGGGCCTCCCTGCAGGCATCACAGATGGCAGGGAGACAATCCAGGTAAGGTACAAATGATACTTGGGTCAGCACAATTTAGCCACTGCTGCACCAAAAACTTCTGGAGTCTGATGATACTAAGTGATTTATTTTTCACATACAGTACAATTTTGGGAAAAAAAAGTTCCCATGTGGGAATTATCAAACCAAAGCTTCAGGCCAGGCTCAATCAAAGCACATCTCTTTAGCAAAGCACTTGTGGCCTCCACACAAGAATGAGTTCTGTTGACTGAGAAGCATTGCTCAGGAGTCTGGGCCTAGGGAGGAAGGGTTTATAGTACACATAAAAATGGGTTTTATTGATAGACATTGTTCAGAATTCTGGATGATTTTATGAAGACTGGCTTTGCATAATAGCAAAGGCTGCTAATTACTGACATATCCATTCCCACCCTTCTGGGTAGAAAACAGTGTCAGTTTCTTCCAGTGAAGAAAAGAAAATCTGTGAATTTAACAATTCTGGTTTTCCTAGTGCTATCTGCAAACTGTGCTCTCTATATCCCATGAAGGTCTCTGATGTGACCATGACAGCCCAACATATAGAGAGAACTCTTGGGTAGCTTTCCCCTCATTTCCCAGTCTTCCCTGTTACTTTTTTTTTTTTTTTTTTTTTTTTTTTTTTTTTTTTTGATTTTTAAAGACAGAGTCTCTATGAAGCTCTGGCTATACTGGAACTCACCATATAGACCAGGCTGACCTTGAACTCAGAGATCCACCTGCCTCTGCATCCCAAATGCTTGAATTAAAGATGTGTGCTCCCACTTTTCTTCCTAGTCAGTGGTATTCCAAACTGAAGCGACAAAGAAAGGTCTCTTCAAAGTCTCTGGAAACTGTGTTAGCTGGGAGTGTCATTAATCATCACATACCATGTCATCATGTAGTAGATACCTTACAGTAGATACAAATCTATTTCTCAAGGAAATCTTGTGAGCACAGGGAGTCCATATGTATCTGTGAAATACTTCAGATACTACACAGATATCATGGCTGCGAACCGTCAACAGTTGTATAGGATGTAGACCTTTGTTCCATAAGCGTGAGCCCAGCCTGTTCTAAAGCCTCCGAGCACCAACATAGCCCATCATTTGATTCCCCTCTTCACACATCAATTTTTGTTATTGTTCATAAGTACTACAATATTGTGACTTCTTAGGTATTTTCAATTGCATTTTACTTTCCCCTCTAACCTGAAAACTTAAGTTAGTGCCATAACCCCCCCTCCCAGGTACACCACTGTGTGTTTAGCACCGTGTAACACTGGTGCTTTGGGGGCTCTTCCTCATTTCTTGGTCTTCTCAGTCTACCACTTAAACCAGCGACCCTCATTTCTTTCCCTCTCCTTTTGCATTATTGGGGTTTAAGAGAGAATAGCAGATCTAACCCAGGGCCTTGCACACCAAGCAAATGCTTTGCCACTGCACAATGTATACCTGACACAGTTTCCTCTCTTATTTATTTATTTATTTATTTATTTATTTATTTTTATGGGTGGTTGCACTGCTCTAAAGGTGGTTAAACCTGGGAGCATGGAGCCTGAAAGTGAGGTGTAAAGTCTCATGTCACAGCCGACTTTAATCAGAGCATCAGACAATTCATGCTCGAGAGGGTTAAGAAGATCACCAGAGCAAAGTGTACACTCTCAGGACAAGCCACACATGGCAAAAACATGTTTTTCCGTAGGGGCCTATAAACAAATAACAGCAGCCAGCTGTAATGAATGAAGTAAGCTCACTCCTATCTGGTACGCACGGGAGGAGCACAGAATCACATGCCAAGTGGGAAAATCCATGTTTAAAAAAGAAACTAAGGCCATAAAACCCTTGTCTGCTTGGCATTTCACTCAAGCACTCAAAATTCTCTTCTATTCTTGGACAATGTGTTGTTGGTGTTTTGTTTATATATGTCTGTGCACCACGTGGATGCGTCTCGGATAGTTTCGCTGTCATGTGGGTGCTGGAAATTGAACCTGTGTCCTCTGGTAGAGTAGTCAGAGCTCTCAATCATCAGGCCATCTCTTCAGTTTCTTAAGCTCAACCACACTCCCAGGAAAGCTACCAACAATTAAGAAAAAAAAAAAAAAAGCTCCTTGAATTACAACATTCATTTCCGAAAAGTATTTTCTTAAAAAAGAAAAAAAAAAAAAAAAAAAAAAAAGAACAAAGTGTGTGTTGTAGAGTTTTTAAGAAGAAAAATCACAGCCCGAGTGAAAGGGCTACAAACTGACTAAGAGAACTCGAGTTCCTCCCAGCCGTTGTGGTGTCTCCTCACTGAACCTGTCTGTATCTTGTTCTTGCTTCTGCAGCGCAAATCCAGAAAAACCCTCTGCATCATTATCTTTATCCTTGTCGTCGGAATTGTGATTATCTGTCTCATCGTGTGGGGACTGAAAGGCTGAGTCATGAAGGACAAGACCACTGCATGACGTTGTCTAGGTTATGTAGGCAGATTCTTGAGGTCGATTTCTGTTGTTACTTTAAGGCTATGGTGTAAAGGATGGCCCCATACTTTGTCATTTTTACTGGGGGAAAGAGGTTCTTTCCGATTCACTCTGGTATTTTCTAATACTGAAGGTTTTTCTAAATACCACTGCTGGTACAACGCCCATGCTTGTTATTTCAATGACTGTTGGGTTTTGTTCACATTGTATATGGCTCTCATTTATAATTTATTTATATTGTTTGACTGAGTTTGGGGAATTATTTGATTGATGTGTGTATGCTGCTTATGACTCTCTCACTGGGTAACATGAACCCAGACTGTACTATCTTGTTTTTAAAACTTCAAGCTTAAATTTGATTTGTCCAGCCAATATTCTCAAAAACAAAACCTTAACATACCTGTTTATGGGCTGTTTTACCCCTGTGATCTACAGCAGTGCAGATCATTAGTGATCTTTCATCATTGGATTGCTTTTGTCTTCTCTGAATAGAATCAGGAAGCCATTTCCCAAGGTGTATGTATATATGCATTTGCTGTAGATTGCATAGGAAAGATAGTAAGGATAGATTGATTTTATATATGGTCTGTTTAATCCAATGGAAGAAAATATAGTTAGTATAATGTTTGATGTAACTTGGAGGAAGTATCTGAAAAAAATCCATACTGCTATCTATTCTGTTTAGATGCTAAAGATTCCAGTTTCTTATTGCACTGAACAATCTTCATACTGTCAGATTCTATGTTCTATGTTCTTGGGACATAATTTTTACACAAGTTTTGACACTTAAATTTAGAGTTTATTTAGAGCACTGTTTCCCTCTTCCCCCTCCACTTAAACTGGAAACACCTTTATTGATGGTTTAGGACAGTTACACACACATACAAAGACAAATGCAAGACAAAGAAGTGAGAATTATAGCCCATGGGCTAATGTTCTTCACTCTCACATTACTATCTACCCAACCTCCTCATGCCATTATTTTTTATCATCCTTCATTGGAATAAGAATCAGATGTCTGCCAATGAACTCACTTGCCTTTTAAAATCAATTTTAATGCATTAATCTGAATGCTGTAAAAAGAGTTGTCTTAGTTTAACATTTGTGTTTTATGATGGTCTTATATAGGAGTTTGCTAGTAAAGTCGTTGTTTAATGTGGCAGGCTCTGAAACTTTTAAATGGGAACAAGTGAAGTAGTAACTAAATAATTATATCCTTGCAAGCAGAATAAAGATGATTTCAGATGTCGGCTAATTCTGATTCCTGGGGACTCCTGTGGAACCTGGCTTCCCTTGCGTTTGCTGTTGAAGGGAACACGTGCACCTTGGTGGGACATCTCCACATTTCTGGATTGATGCTTAACATTTTTCATTTTGGAGTATCAAATGGGTTATTTACTAATAAGTACAAGTTGCCTCACCTCTCAGCAGAACTTTCTTTTCTGTAAAAGTGACAATTGAAATAATTGCTGTGAGGGATTGGAACGTTGAGGTTTTTCTGTCAGACTAATTTCAGGGTTGGAAAGAATCCATGGAGAATTCATGCAAATGCTGCCAGGTCAGTGTGAACCCTCCTCCCCGACAGGGCCCACAAGGACTTCTCTTCCAGCTGTCCCCATAGTATGTGCTGTGTCACACTCTGCACTGCCATCTTGTAGCTAAAGGTAAGTTTCAGTAGTGTCTACAAACGGCTTTGTGCCAAGTTCTCCTTACTAACAAGTTTGTTCTCATGTAGGCCGTGCCCATTTACTCCTGTGCCTTCCGTAGTGAGTGCCCCACAACAGCAGAATGCTTTCAAATTCAGGGCACCACCACTTCACCTAAAATTTGATCTGAAGTTACTGTTTTAGATGGGTCATTGATCAGTGATCGATTCAAGACAGCAATGTTAACTCTTTTAAAAAGCACTAACTTGAGGAAACATTTACAAGGTATTTAGAACATAAAACTTACTTTTGACTGAAAAAAGATTTAAGTGCAAAATATAACGGAACAGCTAAGAGAGAAAATGGAAAGCTTGAGGTTTCCCTCAGGTCAGTTTTATCATTTCTCTGAAATGTTAAGTCTTTCTATCTTTTAAGTTTTGTTTTACATTCTAACCCACAGCTCTCCCTCCTACCCCTTACCTCCCCCTGCATCCCCAACCCCCACTCACTCCTCCCAATCTGGTGAGGGCTTCCATGAGGAGTCAACAAAGTCTGCCAGAAATGTTAAATCTTAAAAAAAAACATTACTGAGAATTCTTTTATAAGCATACAATGAAATATGTCATGTTTACCCTCTAATTCTGCCCATATCCTCTTCAACACATTCTCATCCCAACTTTATCTGTTGTTGTTGTTACTCACTTTTAATTTTTTTAAATTTTTTTTTTTTTTTAGCTCACAAAGTCCATTTAGTGCCGTTTCTACATGTGTGAGTGGAATTGTCTCTGGGATCATGGGCATTCTACCCATGACCACACCCTTAAAAAAGATTGTCCCCACCCCTGGCAACTACTAGCTGCCATCGCCTTCTCAGTAAGGGGTGGGTGGGATGTGGAGATCCACCATCCTGCCTGTGTTCAGAGTTTGGCTGGCTTGATGGCGTGCGGGTCTTTGCAGCTGCTCTCAGGTCACGAGTGACTTCATGGATGTGACAGGTGTGGCATGTCAAGAAGAGAGCATTTCACAGCACTCCTTCCCCTCCCCCAGCTGTTATGCTCTCATTGCATCTGTACACCGGGAAATAAAGCAAGAGAGGCTTTGGTGACGGACTGTGTCTGCATTTTATTCAAACTGAAGAAATTTCCCCACTGAGTGCCGCGTTGTTCTGTGTCCTCAGACGTGAGAGTGAAGTTAACTGGCTTCTTGAATTGGACAGTCTAACATTATATGTTTAGGTTATCTAAATATAATAAAGATACGATTTTTTTTGCAAAAACTCTTGATAGTAACAAGCGTTACTATCTGAAAACAGTGTAATGCTTTTCAGTGGGATGGCATCTTCTATTATAGATGTGGGCACAGACAGGGCCTAGGGGAGAACAACAAGCCTGTGCACTGTCTGGAGGAGGCCCTGTGAGCATTCCAAGGATGGGGACTGCAGAGGAGACTGCTAACACCTTACCTTGAAGACATCACCCTTAGGCTAGTCATGGTCTTTACTGCTTTGGGTAAAATTTTGTATCCAGAATATTTTAAATATCAATATGTTTAGGTAAATCTGTAATGAAAACAAAGTGACTCTGTTCACATATGGGCATGGTTTTAGCAAAAAAAGAAAAGGAGAAGAAAAAAAATCACCCAGAATATGTTGGACTTTATATAGTTTTTGTTTCTTCATGCAGAGAAGTGAAAAAGTTCATGGTGAAAAATAAAAAGCCACTGCCATGTGTAAGAAGTCTGCCTTTGGCTTTCAGTGGACAGTGAGTAAGCCATCCCTGGGAACTGTCCTCAGTACTGAGAACAGCAGCGACTTTTTCTCCAGCCCCAACAAGATGTGTTAGTTAGGACAGCAGCATCTAGCCATTTCCTTCCTCTTCACTTCCTCGCCTTCCTCCGTACCTCCATCCCCAGAGTAGTTTCTCAATACACACTTGCCTTAATTTGGCATTTACTTGGGGTCAGCTTCTTGCCAGGCTACTGTATGTCTGGGCATAAAAATTACGAACAATGACATGCATGCCAGGCATTGGCGGTTCACGCCTTTAATCCCAGCACCGGCGAGGCAGAGGCCAGGGACTCAATCTTTGAGCCACATAAACAAGTCAGAAGACAGGAAAGTAGAATCAGCATGACAGAAGTTCAAGGCCATCTTCCACCTCAGTGGGAAGGGGAAGGAAGAAAGGCAGTGTGCAAGGATGGATTCAGTTTGGGACCACTGGGGGCTTAAACAATTGGTCATGCCATTTTAAGGACTAGTCTGGTCTCTCTTGTTACTCCTATTTCCCACTCACAAAGTGACTGGACTTCATTTTCTTTTGTCATTTAGAAGACCTCTACTAAGTCAAGTTTTCTAGAAAGAAGCTATTTTGACTGTCCATCTAAAAAGTTGCCAAATCAAGTCTTAGGCTGGACTCTGTATCTTGAACATCAGTCAGATCCCATATTTGTAAGACAGTCACAGACTTACCGGTTCCACTAGAGGGCACTGCTACATAAAGGAGGAAGCGAGGAATTTGGATTGCAACACAATACCCTCAAACAAATGTATTGCCTACGCGCCTTGGGAAATACACACAAAACGTTTTAAAGTTAGCCTTACCCCACCCTCAGCAGTTGTCATTTCTTTGTTGTTTTGTTTTATCTTCAGAGAAAAGGGATGTAAAGAAAATCCTCAGCCAGGCAGTAATCCATACTTTGAATCCTGGCACTTAAGAAGTGAAGGCAGGAGAAACAGGAATGTAATTCTGTCCTCCACTGGCCACATAGAAACGTCCAGTCCAAGCCAGGTTGGGCTACCTGTGACCCTGTCTTAAAAACAAACAGGAAGTGGAGGGGGGGCAAGGTAAGGGAGAGTGACAAGGAAGAATGAAGACTCACCTAGCTGATGCTAGTGTAATTTCCTGTAATTCGGACATTGCATTGACATGCTGATTTTAAATCATTGTCTTCATAATCACGCACACACACACACACACACACACACACACACACACACACACACACACACACACGAGAGAGAGAGAGAGAGAGAGAGAGAGAGAGTTAACCAATAAGCATTACTATCCAAAGAATCCCAATTTTAAACACTAAAATTGAGCTAAATAGCAGACACTGTTGCTTGTGGCAGGGTTTGAAGAAGTCATCCATTTAATTATGCAGACTGGGTTCCTGTAGGCCATATAGTGACAGCATTTTTTTCATGTGAGTGGTAGAAGGCAAAACCAGATTTCCTGTGCAGGTCTTGCATGCATAACACCCCTACTTGTTTTCAAGGGAGTCTTCGAGAACTGAACCGAGCCTTTAAATAAACTTGAAAGAGCACTAGTTCCCACTTGGACCAACCCAAAGTACAAATTTTTAAGTGTTTACTGTAAGTACCGCTAGACAGTAGTTGCTCACTCCAAAAGCTATGGGCACTGGCAGAACATTTAGAGATGAACTTAGCAAGCCTCAGCTAAGACGTGCCGACTCCTGGCCTCTCTTCAGAATGTCTGATTTTCAGTGATTCAATAGTAGAACTGAAATCCTGAATTTGACAAAGAAAAGTAGCCTAAAAATAAGAAATCTAACCCAAGTAACATGGAAGACTTACTCTTTTTTAAATTTTGCATCACTGAACACTAAGTGGTGAAAGCTTCAGGTGGAAACCAGTCTTTGCACCGGGAGGGTGGGGGTGGATGGGGTGTGTGTGTGTGTGTGTGTGGGGGGGTGATCCAGGAAACACACAACATGTTTTAGTACCAAATGTATTATGTTTTAGTTCATTTTCCAAAACTAGGTGCTGTTGTCCTTTTGAGTCTTTATGAAGGCGCCTCAGTTTGTTTTCAATGAGTCTGGCTACATCTCACCTCTTTCTAGTCTTAGATTTAATGGTGTAATTTCCCAAAAGGTTGCCGTGTTTTTAATATGTGATTTGATATGCAGTGGGGTTCATTCCTTGGTTTAATAATATAATCTTCGTCACATGTCATTCACCTAGTTCTGTCTGAGATGCATTGAGGCCGTCATTGTTGCTGGTAGATGTATGTAGCCTTTATGGTTGACATTTTAAATTTCAGTTCTTAGGTGATTCACCCCAGGTAGGATGTAGATTCAGCCAGCATTTTCTTTGCAATGTGAGTGTGGTTCCATAGAGTGCATTTACCCTGGTTTATTTACCTGCTGAGAAGCATCTGACCTTCTGTGTCATTAGGAATGAAATAGTTATGAACATCCATGTGCAGGTTTTATATTAATAATTTTTTTATGGGGTAAGAATCCTACAATGCAGTTGTTAGGTTGTATGCTAATTGAACAGTTTTTTAAAATTATTTTACACTTATTATTTTTAATGTGAATATGTATTTTGTATGTCTGTATATCACATGCATGCCTGATGCCCATGGAAGCCAGAATATGACATTGGAGCCCATTGAATCAAGGTCCTCTGGAAGAGCAGATAGTACACTAACTACTGAGCCTCTTTTCTAGCCACTGAAATGTATTAAGGAAATGTGAAAATCACTGGTTGTTGCAATAGTTTTACCTTTTTAAATCCCAATGGCGTGAGAATGATCCTGTTTCTTCATGCCTTCGCTTCATGGTGATCTTGCCTTTTATTTTAGTCCTT